TGGGCTGCAGCCCCCCCATCTCTACATGGTGTAATGGGGGGGGTTGAGACGGCCCTGGCCTGGTGTGGGGGGCCCCGCCAGCCCCTCTGTACACACTCCGGTGACGAAGCAGCCTTGGCGACTAGTTTTCCGATTTATGTAACAATTTGAAACAGTCGCTACCAAAGCGGAGCATACAGCACTTGGGCAGTCCTGGCGACTGTTCATTGCCCGCTCTTTGAAAGCATCACCGCGTGTTTTAGGCGTGTCCTGGCACATACGTGCATCACTGCGCTTTAGAGCCCGGCTCGGGGACTCTGATTTCATCTCGAAAATATGGGGAAATAACACCAAGAGCTCGGGTTATGGGCCTGAGCGGAGCTTGCAGAGAGGAGGCTGCTGGGAACCCGGATCCCTCTGCTCCTTCTGCACCAGTCCTATAGGGTGCACCTGGCAGTACCCGTGGCCGGCCCAAGCCATGAGACTCTGCCGGGCAGAACGTGTCCAGGTTCACCCCTGTCTAGGGTTTAACCTCAGAACGCAGCCAGCGGCATTTCAGGAGCGAGATCCCCTCCTCTTCCAAACGCCGCGAAGGCCAAGAACGCACAACTCACCATAGTCTTTCTTGCAGTACTTCTTCATGTTAATCTTCAGCTTCCCCTTGGACGCCTTGCAGTATGAGTCACAATCTGCAGGGGGGAGAGCAAGCGGGAGGGCAAGAGAAGATTAACAAAACAAATTAGCCTTAAAAATGCATAAAAGGCTGGGGGAGGGGGAAGCGAGAAAAGCTGCAGGCTGCCCTGAATAAGCAGCGTGCCTGTGATATCCATCTGCCAGGACCCGATTGGGTCGTCTATCGGGGCATTCAGCAAAACCTTCCTTTCTAAAGAAAGCCTTTGACAAAGGGAGCCCTCCGCCCCCCTCCCCGCCTGACGAATCCCTTTGCTGGCTGCGCCGGGCCGCCCCCCTTATTGTGCCACCCAGCTCTTTTGAGAGCCACACAAATTCCCCCTGTTCTGAAGCTGCAAACGGGAGCCTGATTAAAGCCACAGAGGCCTCATTGTCACCCCTAACCCAGGCCTGCGGCGGGCTTTGGCATTCATTGCCGAGAGATTCGGGCTGGGGTCACGCGCCAACAAAGGAGGTCAGAGAGGAAATTAGCAGCCCATGAAGCATTAGCAAAGCCTTTTGGTGTCCACTCTACTGGAGTGTGCAAATCGAATGCCCCAGTAGGAACATTTCAGTTCTAATGGGCCCTACTGCTGTGACATGATGGTTTTACTCCGCCGAACATCAGCCTGCCTCCCAGTGCCACTAATGGGACGGCTGCTTTGGCAGGGCCGGCGACGAGAGGAAATTAGCAGCCCATGAAGCATTAGCAAAGCCTTTTGGTGTCCACTCTACTGGAGTGTGCAAATCGAATGCCCCAGTAGGAACATTTCAGTTCTAATGGGCCCTACTGCTGTGACATGATGGTTTTACTCCGCCGAACATCAGCCTGCCTCCCAGTGCCACTAATGGGACGGCTGCTTTGGCAGGGCCGGCGACATAGAGCGGGATAATGTCACAGCGTTACGCTGCCGTGCCAGAAGGCCAGCCATCCCGGGACAGACCAAAGGGCCGTCTAGCCTAGGATCCTGTCTGCTGACAGTGGCCAGTGTCGGGTGCCCCGGAGGGAGTGAACAGAGCCGGGACCCATCCAGTGGCCCCTCCCCTGGCGCCATGTCATGGCCACACCGCACTGTGGCACTGTGACAGTTTTCAATGATTTGGCTGTTGGCGCGACCACCATTGGCCTTCGAGGTTACCATGCAAACGGCTGCTGAGCTGCCAATGGGCCTGGGGAGGGGGCGTGTAAAGGGAGTGAGAGTTTGACTCACGCAGGGCAGATATCAGCACCCAAATACCCTCGCTGCAACGGCCTTCCCCTCCTCCTCCCATTTCAAGCACAGTTTGGTGATCCCAGGAACACGCAAATGCCACTGACATGCCACTGAGAGGCACCAGAGCTCTGTGCCTGTGCGGGCCAGGGAGAGCAGAGCAGGAAAGGGAAGCCCTGCCTGCCAAAGGCCAGCATGCTGGGGCATGAGCAGATGAGCCCTGGCGCGGTCCCAGCAGGGGTTGCCTAGGTCCAGCCGAGGGGAAGTTGCAGGTGACTCTGACACAGCATCTCGAGCGTATTGCGCTGAGCTGATGCACTTTGCTGCTGGAGAAGATCCTTCAGCTGGAATGTTCCAACCAGACCTGTGCAGTGTCCGCCCGCATCTCCTCCAGCATGGGACCCGATCTCCTTGGAGCACCACTTCCTGCCTTGTGGCTTTTCCAGCTCCATGGCCTCTTCGTGCAGGCCCCTTGGAGAACTCTGGCAGGCTCCAGTGACCCCTCATTCATTCTGCACTGGCACCCCTCCGGCTGGCCACGGACTTTGTCAAAAGCAAAATTCAACGTCCAAAAGAAACATGCAGCTTCACAGCTCCCCTTCTCTCCTGGAGCGGCAGCCTTGTCCGACTCTGCAGGAACCTAATTCTCCCCAGCTCTTGTGTCCCCAGCATCCTCTCTGCTGCCTCTGGCAAGCTCAGCTACTTTCCCAACCATGCCCCTTCCTGCTGGCTCTTGTTTTGGCATTGCTTGCTTCCTCGCCGGTGGAGCTCATCCTGCAACCAGGGATGCCTGGTCCAGCCTGCACACAAGCTACCCTGTTGCACTGCCCTTACCATGGTGTCTGGAGACATCAGCTGAGATCAGGGCCCCATTGTGGTGGGACATGTCCAACCCCCTAAGGGAAAATCTAAGAGACCTTTCAAAGGACCCCGGGCAGAGAGGACACAGGCATAGCAGGGGGAAGTGACTGGGAACTCGGAACACCTTACCCACCCCGCTCTTTTCGGAGCACTGCAGAAAGGACGGGAGGTTTTTACGCCCACCAAGGCTGCTCCAGTTACAACAGCTATTGGGCGCTCCAGAACTGCTGGGGAAGTTTATTCCATGAGACCTGAAGTCAGCACTCCAGTCTGGAAAACACAGACCTCAGCCTTCGCCCCGACTTCTGCTGGGACGCAGCAGGCTTGTCGAAGTGGAAAGCATCAGTGCGTGGGGCTAGATCTTGCCAGCCTTCCTCAGCAGTGTACCCATCCTACTCCAGCAGTAGTGCCATAGACTTCAGTGGAGCAAGTAACTATTCGACAAGAGCACGAATATCAGAATCCGGCCCTGGGGTCGGTAGAACCAGTCAGGGTGCCCCTATTGTATTGCTAAATATACATGTTGCAGCCAGGAGAAAAGCAGCTGCCAGGAAGCTGAATACAGCAGGGCTACATCTACACTTGCATGGTTTTCCAGAAATGCTTTTAACGGAAAAGTTTTCCATTAAAAGCATTTGCGGAAAAGAGCATCTAGATTGGCAGGACGCTTTGCACAAAAGCACTTTTTGCAGAAAAGCGTCCGTGGCCAATCTAGATGCGCTTTTGAGCAAAAAAGCCCCGATCGCCATTTTAGCCATCGGGGTTTTTTTGCACAAAACAATACTGTGCTGTCTACACTGGCCCTCTTGCGCAAGAGGGCTTTTTCCCAAACGGGAGCAGCATAGCATTTCCGCAAGAACACTGACAATCTTACATGAGATCGTCAGTGTTCTTGCGGAAATTCAAGCGGCTAGTATAGACAGCTGGCAAGTTTTTCCCCAAAAGCCGATGATTTTGCGGAAAAACTTGCCAGTCTAGACACAGCCCAGGTGCCCACCACTTTAATGCTTCATCCCACTCCAAAGGAATCTCAGCGGCAAGGTATCAGTGCAGCACCAGGCCCAGGAGCCAGGTTTTCTCAAGTCTTTAGGCACCTAGCGATGCAGACAGGCTGCTGGGGTTTCAAACTGTTCCGATGCTAACTTCATGCTCCCACGGGCTCCCATGGAGTTCCGTGCCTCAGTGCTTTACAAATCTGGACGAATTCAAAGCCCCTGATTGCAGAGCTGGCCAATGGCTTTCGTTCCAGATCCCATTTAAACCCAGAAGCAGCTTATTTTCTGATTCTGGCTGGGATGTGGCCAGAATCTCGTTAAGAGGCCAAATGATGGAAATTCTGACAGCTCATCTTCCAGACTTCTGCAGTTAGGGCATAAATCCTGCGAGATCTCAAAACTGAGCTCTGATTCCACCTACCTTCAGCCCCCAGGCTCATCCTACCCCAGATCCACACCCGGCCTCATCAGCCCAACTCCAGTCACTCCTATTGTTCTTCAGATGCTTTGCTGATGGATGGGAATAAAGCTGATAGCAGTCAGGAGATGATAAATTGCTCGGTGCTCTCTAAATATGATCTAATCAAAGTTGGGGCCAGAAGCAAAATCTATCATTGAAACAACACAGTTTTCCATGCCAGAGGCCCTGCTGAGGTTCCCTACCATGCTCCCGACCTGCCAAGAACCTTTTACAGGAAAAGAATAGCCAACAGATTCTAGAAATCGTTGTGTCTCTTTGTTTTCTTCTAACGTGACCGTGAATGTCAAGCATGACTTGAAGTTGGTCCAATAAAAGATATTACCTCACCCACCTTGTCTCTCTGAGCAAGACTTGAAACACACTGGAACCGAGAGTGGATAGCCCATAAAAGCACTGGCAGAAAAGCTCTAGTTGGAATTATTTATACATCGAGACCTTGTTGCACTAACCCTCCAGGGCTGGCAGTTTGACAAACATTCAACTACCCCGTCCTCGGAGAGTTCCTGTGTAACCCTGTCTGTGAGACATCGCCTCTGGAGGGGCGGGGGTAGACAAGGGTTGCAGCTCCTAGGAGGAGTTTCTTTATGGAGGTTGCAGGATACAGAGGGTACGTCTACACAGCAGCGTTATTTCGGAATAACAAAGAGCGCATCTACACAGCAGGCTTCTATTTCGAAGTAATGGTGAACAGGAGGACTTCTTACTCCTCGTGAAATGAGGGTTACAGGAGTCGGCGTAAGGGCAGTCGAAGGAAGAGTGCTCTTCCGTCAGCTTCCTGCTGGGTAGACAGCGCCAAAAGCCGAATTAAGCTCTTTCGACATCAGCTGTGCAATTGAAGTAGCTCAAGTTGCGTAGCTTATTTCGGCATTAGCCCACAGTGTGGACATGCCCAGCCTGAACTTTGCATCCACTGACTACCCTGAATGCCTTTTATCCCAATTCTTCATCATCATCATCATCATCAACAACTACCATGGGCTCACCGCCCGTTGGTGTCCGATGCTTCCCTCACTATTTCCTTCCCTCTTTCCGTGGCCAGTGTGGAGTGGCTTAGTTTCTGTAGACTAGCTCCACACCAATCTACTAGATCATCTACCCAGTCTCTGTGGGGTCTGCCTCTCCTATTCGGACCATCCATTATGCCGAATACCAGGGTCTTAACTTTTCACTCATTGCTCATTCTGCAGATATGCCCGAGTAGCTGTAACTTCCATTGTAAAACCTTCTGCAGTAGGTTCTCTTTCAGCTGTATCCTCCTATATAATTCCTCGTTGGTGACCTTCTGCATCCATCCTATTCTCAGGATCTTTCTATAACAACGCCTCTCAAACGCCAATATCCTTCTCTTCGAATTGCAGGACATGAAATGGCAAGCCAATGGGTGCAATGGGCCAGCCAACACCAGGCCAGCTGTTGAGGGCACATGTGGCCATGTCCAGACAGGGTTATTTTAATGCCGACAATGCTGAGGA